ACACTCACATGGTGGGTCTTGTCTGTTGTGACAGTCGAAGTGCCATATGTCAATCATGAAAGCATTCATTAAGAATGCCTCAGTCAACGTCACGTCGCAGCGTTGTCACCGACCTTTGAGATATTTTACAAGATATTTTGGTATGTGCGAGTCCGCAGCCTTCATCGCTCCGTTAATATTATCACTTCTGACTCAACAGCTCACCGAACACACGTAGGATTTAATTTAGTCCATGACCATCTTTTGCCGAGAGGCCTTCCCGCTTTCCCCACTTTTATTTGAGCTATGTACTTAAGCTAATCATCAAATCAGTTGGACATTGTCGATAAAGACAGGGGAGCGTGAGCTCGAAGGCATGAAGGGACGAGCGAGTTCCATTAGTGATCGGTGAGCATTCATCGACGAAAACCAAATTTGTCTTCGCATGCAGATTTTTGTGGTTTTAGTAACTGAATGTAAGCATGTTTTCAGTCTGCCGTAACAGCTGTACATTCATTAGTACTAATTATTAACTTCTTGTGACATTCGAATGATTAAGTATGATAGCACTCAGGGTCCCGCTAAACTAACATCTTTTGTTATTTTAGGTGTCATAGAAGATGCTGATTATGTCGGACGTAGTCAACAACGGAAAGAATGCGCTTTTGCAAACCGCTGCAAACATCGAGCAAGCGGCTGCCTATTGTAGCAGTAATTATCTCAACTCCCACAATCAGAAAGATGCCATTGGTGAAACCATGAATTACGCCACCCAATCCCTGGGGACAATGATTCATCAGCTCAGCCACTTGGCAACTACATTCTTAAAGGTGCTCGATGAGAAGGTTGATAATCTTGCCAGTATTGAAGACAAGGTCAGCAAACTGGGAATGGTAGGCTGTCTGCTTACTGTCTTTCACTCCAGCCAACTTACTTTAGGAATTAAAAATTCGTCAGGAGAAAGTTGCCCGGAAAGCTATCGGTTCATGCACGGTCTCCAAAGTCCCCGTGAAGTACGCGAATTCTAAGATGCGACAAGAACCACCGGCCGATTTCGTCCGACGTCCAATCGACTACACCGCCCTGGACCACATTGGCCACGGGTTTAAGTCGCAGGTGAGTTCTCGTTCACTTTATCTTTGCCAAGATTAGCTGCATCTTGCTAAAATTTTTTAAACACGCCTCTTTATTGTGTCCACCAGGGTAGTCGTACAAGGAAACAATCGGTAACGTTACGTTCGTACTGTTCCCGCCGTTGTTCTTCCTCAGTGCTCTGTGTGTCTGTTAGAGGCTTTCGTTCTGTTTTTTGGTGTTAGCTTGCTCTGTGGAACCACACTGAATGCGCGACACAGTGGCCCTAATTGTGCATTCTAACACA